GCAAATAATTTGATAATATGGCTAAATAAAACTTATAGCCTAAAAAGAAGTCTAAAGTCACAGCGACACAAAAGCTTAAAAACCACATGAAGAAGTAAAGACAAAACTTAATGATGCCGTTTTTGCGAGATATTTAAGGTAGTGAGACCCAGCTTATAGCGATGAACCCCAAATTCTGAAGTCATCCGTGGATCCCAGTGATGACAATGTTCAAGTAAGCTCCAGATTTTATGGAGCCGCGGGAGTTTTTAGTCAAATGAAAAGATGGGAAGTTGGATGAAGGGAAGTCGCTCAGTGATCGGGATTTAGAGGAAGGAGAATGAGAAGAGGAGAACGAGCCTTGTAGTGAAAAAATATAAACGAAGAATCCAGCAAAGAATAAAGTTATTGAGATTCTTTTACCGAAAAAACGCAAGTCAGTCCTAAAAATATTTGGAAGTCAGTCTGTTATCTAAGCGTATTCAACGAAATATAATAATAAGCCTGAAAGTGGGAGTTTGGCAGCCAAATGAACCTAAGAAACCCAAGCTGAAGCTCAGGCTCAAGCTCGCGCTCAAGATTAGATTGACGTTAAAAAGGTACGCCGGAAAAACCACCCTTCAATGGTAAGTTACGTAATCCGGAAATCGGCTTGAGGTCTTGCTCAAACGATAGCCGCGTGATGATCACCCCCAAATATGCAAATCCGATCGTTATCGAAAACTTTAAGCCCTTCTTAGGGCCCAGCCTGAGGGGGCCCAGACACCCCCCGGGGCCCCGCAAAGTCCCGTTCGATTGCGCAATATGCAAATGCCAGCCGGGAGTGACCAGTGAGGGAGAACGAGAAGGGGGAGGAGGACTAGGGACTGGGCCCCAGGGCAGAGGGCCCAGACCGCAAATCGAAAAGGGGGTCCCTCTAAAGGGACCGCGGCTGCCATCGGCTTCCAGCCAGCCGGGGCCAGAAATCGACTGGCAGCGAGCCCGGGAGTGACCGGTGGGAGAGTGGGGGTAAACAAGAGGGGGTAGAGAAGAGAGAGAGAGAGAGAGAGAGAGAGAGAGAGAGAGGGGGGGTGAGACAGCGGGGGAAATAAGATGCAGACGCTGGTCAGCGGGCCCTAATTAGAGGCCCATGCCCCCCGGGGCACGGGCCCGCGTTCCGATGGCGCAATAGGGGGGAATGGGGGAATGGAAGGGGGGAGTGCGCCGGAATTTGGCGGACTTGTTGAGTGGCAGGGGCTATATTTGGGGAATATTGGGTGTTGGCGAGCTTAAAGGGGCCAGGAACGGAAGAGAATTTTGTCCTATTGGTTATCTGCTCTCGGGAAGCGAATTTTGGCTAAGAAAAAAGCTTTGAGGGGTCCAGGAACAGAAATTATAACTTCCCGGTCCCTGTAACGAATCAAGCCAAGGTTTTGGGGCTATAAAACCGTTTCCAACCTCGTTTTTAAGGCACCAACCGTGGATTAAATTTTTCCAGCGCTGACCGAAGCTTTTAACGATATTCAGACACTTTTCGTAACTGAAAATTCTTGACTTTCAGACCCAAATTAGCATAAAAATCCAGATTAGTAAACAAAAAATTTAAAAAAATGACGTCAATCTAGCTTTATTTTCAAAGGCTTGGCAGCATTGGATTCGGGCCATTAAGACCCAAGTAAAATCGCCTTTCAGAAGCACATCTACAGGGTGCGGAAAAAGTTTTGGGTGGCGCCTTTTTATTGCGAAAAATTGTCGTTCTAAGCTATACCGCGCTCATTTTGTGGTGTCAACATAGATTCGGACGTGCTCTATCCGATTCTGAGAACGGTAATGGTTTAAAAATTATTTTCCGCATGAGAATCGTCTTGGAAACACGGAGGCTCCAGAAATGGTACACATTTGGTTGTTATGAACTTTTGGTTCTAATGCTCCGGATCTTATCACCAGGCTTTCCAGGGTTTCGGATTATGATAGGCAGGGAATAAGCATTATCCCATGTAAAGCTTACATTTTTTGATCAGCTTTGCTAAACCCTGGGCACAATTGAGTTGAAAATAAGCAGCGTGCCGCGGTTTCCGGCTTTTCAACTTTTTGTGAAGCTCAACCTGCAGTTGTTTTAATGTCTATCCCACAAATTTCGACGTCAAACATCTTGATTTAAAATATTCATATTCCTAATCTATCATTAATGTGGCGCTTCGCGGTTTATGGGCTGTAAGCCCCCCAGCTTCGCAGCTGCTTCCCATGCCGCTAGGGGCATTGCTCAGAATTCAAAGCGCCAGAACTCTCTGAATTTAAATTCAGAAGCTTTGTAATTTCATGAAGGGATGTAGGATAGGATTGGCAATATCTGGACCAATTCTCGTGAATTTCGGTGAAGAATGGTGCACAGGGCATACGGTAAGAGCAGCAAAAGCGCTGCGTGCCGAAGGTGATTTTAGCGCGACGCTTTCAGTGCATTTTCCCCCGAAAATTTCAAAAATTTTGTTGATCTGCGGGTGCCTAGTGTTTCTCAAGTTGCCCTTTTTTAGTCTCCCATTCAAAAAATCCAGGCTGGAGCACGCAATTTGTGAAAACATAGCTAATTCTGCCACCCAAAACTTTCTCCGCACCCTGTAGTCCAGCCTATCATGATAATCCCACCAGTAAGCGTCGATTTACAGGCTGAGTGTTCGACTGTCTGTGCTCCTATAAATCGCTTCTAAAATTGTCTTTCCAGACCTCCGCGTTTTTAGCTTTATTGCCATTAAATTCCTGGCTTCCAGATTCCGTTCAACAAGCTTACCCTAGGGCCGCTAGTGAGCGGCCACCACCCAATTAGCATCTCCATGCCGCCCAGGGTGGGGCTCATTCCTTGGCGTTCCGATGGCGCAATATGCCCTCACCCCCGCCCCAGACACCAGATGCATTTGCATATGGGAGAAGCAGGGAAGGGGGAGGAAAGATCGAAATTTTAATGCTGTTTATTTCAGGGCTTGGAAATTGCCGATCTTGAAAGTTATCTAAAAGGCCAGGAAGTTCTTTCAGATTTTTATAGGTTTTTCTTGTGGATTTTGATCATTTTAACACGTTAGGGAATCCGGAATCTAAGGAACTCGTGCTTACTTGCCAATGTTAAAAATCACCCGGTGTAACCACTGCTACTTCATATATCTACCTGGCAGAAATTACTTACCTAGACCTACGTTATCGTTTTCTAACGTAACCGTGACCTTGTTTCTAAAATAGCTCCTAAGAAGGTAGGCCGGAAAGCCGTACTACTTGCTGTCACCACCCCTTTGAAAGTACAGCCGCTTCACACGCCTCCGGGTCATTGGAAAAAGCTGACAACGACATTTGCCCCGGCACCCTCCCATCCCGCTGCCATCAAGCCCGAAACGGCGTGCTACAAATTTTGGCCCTTTGGAAATTCGATCGTCCCGGCCCGGCCGGAGGGGGAGGCTCAGCGAATGGGACGCGTCCCGTGACACACGCTGTCCCGTGTGGTCAAGGCAGAAGAGAGAGAGAGAGAGAGAGAGAGAGAGAGCGAAAGAGAGAGAGAGAAAGAGGAGAGTAAGAGAGAGACGGGCCCGGAAAGAAAGCGCGAAATTGTGTGTGAATGGGCAGTGGTCAGCCGCCCCTCCCCCTCTCGCGGGAATGGCCCGAAAATGGGCACCGAATTTCCACCCATTTTGGGGGATTATGAGAATTTTGCACACCCGTCCAGAGCAGCGTAACGGAATGGAATCGGGCGTGGAATTGAGGAATGAAATTGGATTTTTGAGCTTCAGGTCGTAGTATATTTTCCATAGCAAGTACTCTGGCTGAAAGAGCTTATGGATGCGTGTGTGACGCAACTTGGCAAAAAGGTCCGCCTAACCTAAAAAAAGTCTAGCCTAAGCAAACGCCTAAGCCCAAACCCAGTCCTAAGCCAAAACCTAAGCATAAGCCCATCCTAAGCCAAAGCCCAAGCCTAAGCCTAAGCCAAGGTCTAAGCCGAAATCGAAACACAACCTAAGTCAAGGTCTGCTAGCGGCGAAAAGCTGGCACCGTTCCAACTTTCCGCTCCCATTTTGCAGGGCATACGTCAGCCACCCTGGCTGGGTCCCGAGATTTACACCATGGCCCCCGGTGCGGCGGCTTCTCCTCCCATTTTGTGCAGCCGTTTTGATGGCCCAGCCCGTTCTCCTCGCCGGGCGGAAAGCGATCCGCCCTCCCCACCAACGAAAAGCCCATGGCTCCGCCAGCGAAAGGGGAACACTTTTTAAACTGACCAGGTGCTGGTTTCGAGCCAGGAGTCCGGGCTGGGCGAATTTTCAGAACGGCTTGAATGGGCCACTGACCGCTGGGTTTTTGTTGCCAGATGTTGGTGAATTTCAGAGGTGATGGACCAGTGTGAAGGGGTGCGTGGCGTACACTATTCGGCGGTGGAAAGCGGCCAAAAAGGATTCGATTTACCAAGAGATTTTTCTGGGCTTTTGGGACCCTAAAAAAATGAATTAATACCTTCGATAAGGTTTGAGATTCGGAAAAACTCCGTTTTTCAAAAATTGCTTGGCTTTCAACGTTTCAAAACGGTCTTGGAGCGATTTTGTTCTGAAAGCCCATTGCTCAAAGCTGTTTGTCGTACAGGAAATTTGATTCAGCTAAAAACGAATTCTTAGAAAGATCTGCACCTTGAGGCTTTCCATCTCCTAATCTCCAGAATCAAAACTCCATTTCCTTCTTGCCCCGTCACCCCGATGAAATATTGGAATTTCAATTCTGAAGCCCCCGAGGAGCCGCCCGTCCCGTGGAATTATATCAGATTTTGGCGCTCATGGACGCGCTAAGGAAGGGCTGAAGAGATGGAGAATGCAATTGGTCAATCAGGGTTGCGCAACGTCCACTACTCTCTTTCGCCTTGGACGCCTGTGCCTTCTGCCGTCCTTTCGGGCGAGTGGACAGTGGCAAGAGTCTCCGCTTTTATTCCGAAACGCTCCAAGGCCTGGTTTCCACGGATGGCTTCTTGGCTCGAAATGCCGGCTGGGTACGGAATCGAGAAGTATTAAGGGACGGTCGGAATGTTCAAGGAATTCGCGACCAAAAACCGCATGCTGGCCACGATTTGCACGCTCCAGACCCTAGGTCCAAACGTCGTAAAATCATCAAGAAATCGAGGCCGAGACGCCTCTTTCTTCAGGTACTGAATTAATTGCAAAAAATTGTAAAATAACTATTGTATTATATTGTTTAATGAAAGCATTTCAGAACAAGCGGTCTTCCAGCGACTATTTCATCTGTTCGGCGGCTGCCCCGGGTGCAAGGTAATGAGAAATCATCAAGAAATCGAGGCCGAGACGCCTCTTTCTTTAGATACTGAATTAATTGCAAAAGATTGTAAAATAACTATTGTATTATATTGTTTAATGAAAGCATTTCAGAACAAGCGGTCTTCCAGCGACTATTTCATCTGTTCGGCGGCTGCCCCGGGTGCAAGGTAATCAGAAATCATCAAGAAATCGAGGTCGAGACACCTCTTTCTTTAGATACTGAATCAATTGCAAAAGATTGTAAAATAACTAATCTGTAAAGTTCCTGCAAATTTTCGTGCAGGGCAAAATAAACCACTAAAGTCTGCGGCTGGCCGGGCGCCAAAAGACGAGCTGCCATTTTCTTCTGCAACAAATTTCCGGGAAGTGGAGGGAGGCAAGGCATACCGGCCACGCCAGGCAAAATCCTGATCATCGATTTTTTTTTGTGAGCCATTTGGATTTGGTTTAGAATGATTCTCCAAGAATTCTTCCTGGTTTCTTCGTTCGGATATCGATGCGTATACAGACTTAAAAAAACTAAGTTACCTAAAGAAAAAAGTACGAATGACTCGCAGGCGACGCGCATCTATAAGATTGAACTTCGCAAAATCCGCGGGAAAAGGAAGCCTTTCCTAGTCTCAACGCTTTCCTCCCATCTGTAAATTATTCGGCAACTTTGCGAGCAAAGTTAGATAAACCACTAGGGGCGCAGCTAGTTGGGCGCGAAAGGTCGAGCTGCCATTTTCTTCTGCAACAAATTTCCGCGGGCAGATGGAGGCAAGGCATACCGGCCACGCCAGGCACAATCCTGATCATCGATTTTTTTTGTGAGCTTTTAGCTTTTGTTTGAATTCATTTTCCACAAATTATTTCTGTTTTTCGTTGACTTACAGAGGCGCATGCACCCCTAAAACGCTAAATCTATTGTCAAGGCGGTTTGAAAAAAGTGTTTGCGCTAACTGGTGAGGAACTTGCGACATCAGATACCCTGTTTTAGCTAAAAAGGTATCCTAACAATAAGTGGGGCCGTATCACACTTGCTTCGCGCCCCGTGATGCCGATAATGGCTGTGGCTACATAGCAAAAACTGGTCAAAACTGGAAAAATTCCAGAATCCACCTAGCTGTTTGCGTTCTGCTCTTGGCAAGCATCGGGGTAATTAGCTCATAAATTGTCGACATATTATTGCGCAAAAAATCTCCAGGCTTATCGCTGTTCCAGGCTTGGCGGGCTACTTGTGACGAATCCTTAAAGTTGTTACAAGTATGCATGTCCTCGGCCGGCCACTCGTTCAGAAATGTCCCAACCTATGTTTTTCCATTAATAGCATCCAACTTTCTAAGCTCCCAGTTCCAGAAATGCCGTATTCGTTCAAGGCGGGCCTGCAGGAAGCATATTGGCAATACCATGATGGCGCAAAATGTGACGGCTGTTCCGACTGGATCATGGGAAATCGCTACTTCTGCAATTCGTGCAAAGCTAACCTCTGCGAGAAGTGTCATGCCGAAGAGAACTACGGCACGAAAAGCGACGAACATTCCGATTTCCATATTTGTGAGGTAATTTTTTGCGTTGGTATCTCGGGTCAGAGAAGCGGCGGGCAAGGTGGAAATTTTTGGTGATAAGGGGGTTTCCAACCCGGTCCCTACCCTGCCTTGCAAAGAATTTTTTCGTTGGGTTGGAGGTGAGGGTGGGGATGGATAGCTGCCCGGGAGAGGCACCCCGCAGCCGTGAGGTACGGGTTCGACCCCGGCCCGGAGCACGATTCGAATTTCGTCAAAGCTACAAACTTTGTACAAGGGAAGTGTTTTTGACCCAGGTGGATCCAGCCAGAAGGCCAAAATAATTGGGTGTGAAAATCCAAAATTTGAGCAAAAAATCACTTCCGAAGTAACTTTCTAACGAGGAGGAGTTTCAAAAAACTTCTGTTCAAACCTCAGCTTTATTTTCAATGCTCTATCGATTGATGTATGTTACATAGAAATTTGTGGGGGCGGGCCCCCCCGTTTCGTTTCCCTTTTTTTCCCCCTTTCCCGATTTTTTTTTTTTCCTAATTTAGATTTTTAAACCTCCCACAAAATTTTAAAAATTTCCCCAAAAAAATCCCAAATTTCCCCTTTTTTAAAAAAAATTTATAAATTTTCCCAAAAAAAAAACAATGCCCCCCCAAAAAAAAATTTTTTCCCCCCCCCCTTGTCTTTGTTTCTTCTTGTTTTTACTTACCCCCCCCCCCCCCTCCCCTCCCCCCCTTTGCTTTCCCCTCCCCCCCTCCTTTTTTTTTTTTTTTTTTTTTTTTTTTTTTTTGATTTTTTTTTTTTTTTTTTTGATTCTGTTTTTTTTCCCCATTTACCTTTAATTCCCCCATTTTCCGATACTTTAATTTTCAAGAACCAAAAAACCAGAACCAAACCCACACCCAGAAATTTGTCACCTGGGTCAAAAACACTTTGCTTGGTAGCATCGTAACTCAGAAACATGACCAGTTTCGTAAAATTTTTCGTGAAAACCGATAGCATGGTGTAACTGGAAACTTTAAAAATCGGGATTGATTTTAGACTATCCTGTGTTCTCTCGACAAACTGTCAACGCCCGCCCATAAGGGTATCAATTGCGACGGATGCCGTATAAAGGATATCTTCACGCGTCGCTACAAATGCAATGTCTGTCACGACTACGACCTCTGCGAGAGCTGCTACGATAATAAGATATACGCTCCCGTTACGAACAAAGTGGTCAGCCATCGGGCATCGCACCAAATGACCGTAAGTAACCTTTTTAAGCTTATAAAGGGCGTGGTAAAAAGGCACACAGCTCAAACAAGAAATTTTTCTGAATGGTGCCGATATTTTACAAGGCAACTACGGCTATTGATTTGTTGAGCGTCTATGTTAAGCCCATTGCCAGACAATTTGCGCCCAACCTGACAATTTCTGACTTGAGCTGTGCTGACTTCCGAATTCCTTCAGCACACTCGATAGCTGATTCTAAAAACCGGTTTTAGTATTGGGATCCACCAATCGCAGAAGCGGAGAATCTGAGTTACGATCAGATGCATGCTCGCGCCATAAAACTCCAGCAGCGTCTCGGGATTCCCCTGTCGAAACTTGGAGCCCTCGAATATAAGAAGGAGGGTGGTGACGACGATTGGTACAAATTCCATCAAAAGATCGGTTATGCGATCTACGGTGACCCGCGATGCGTCCGTGACACTGCGAAGAACTGCTACTTTGGGTACTCTCCGGAACAGGAAGACCTTGTCCGTGAACTCGTGGGAAAGTGCCTGGAACTGAATCGCAAGCATCATTCGGATGAAAGCGTGCGCGCCGACTTCATCTTTGTCAGCTTCTTTATGCCCGGAAAATTCGAAAACACTATCCCTTTAGGTATGGTGGTTTTGCCAGTTGAAAGCTTTTTCAAAACCTCATCTTTTAGTCAGGGTATACACCAGCAAATACAACTATTTGGTGGAGCCCAGTGGTCGCGCCTACGACAATTGGAAACATTTTTTGGAGACGAATTGCCTGCCAGAATGCCATATCATTGGGCCGGACGAAGGGACATACAAATGTGATGATGAGGGGCGTCTTCTGCTCTATTATTACTACCATGACCCATCGTGGCTGAAGAGTACTGGCGGCTCGGTGGTGGATGGGGTAGCCACCGTCGGAACAGTTCTCGGTGAGTTTTAAAAAGGCATAATGTAAGGTGCCGAGCTTAACAAAAAAAGCATTGAGTTTACCACATAAACATTCTACCGTATACAGGGTGTCCCAATCAAAAACACCACTCCGTAGGAGTCTATGTGCAGCTGTGCCTTTCGAGACTCGATTCGGGGGCCTTCCCATGTCCAAAATCCTCTAATTCCCCATCACCTCAGGACCCCTCTCGTTCCGATGGCGTTTTTAGAATTCTAATGCAATATAAGCTTACCAGTTAAAGCCGATTTTATTCATTTTGGGTTTGGCGGCTTTGCATAAGCATAATTTTCGCATAATAGGAATTTCCCAGTTCTTACCAGTTGCACGCGCGCGTGCGGTCGCGCGGGGAGGGGGCGAAATGACCAAATCCATCAAACAGTCAAATTTTATATGCAAGAGACGACTTCCAGCGGATTTTGGGCCTTTGTATCAGGTTGATAATAATTAAATGGAATCGCTTTTAAAGCTGAAGTCAAATAATAGTGGATATATGGTGTAGGCGAGCTACCTAGACCCTTAAAAAGTTGCGGTGCGAGTAGGGTAAGTCTGCAAATACCAAACTATTTTGCAATATCCTGCTAGAAATTCATGTACACACAATCGATAGCTTTGAGGTAGATAGATAGTGGAGATACAAATTGGACATGGTGGCGAGATAGACCCATATTGGCCCATTTCTTGAACTTCTGATCCCATACATTTGGTCAAATGTGGTTCTTTAAAACAAGGGAGTTTTGGCCGGTTGTCAAATGTATGGTTCGAGAAGTTCAAGAACGGGAAAGGGACCGGCCATCCGTGTCGATTGTGTCAACTTATCGTATCTACCCGGCTTCGATGGTAGGTTCGATGCCTGCAGAGTAGCTGAAAAGGTTTGGCACGGAATATCGGGTTATCTCGACGTCGCTCAATTTTTCCGTCAATTGAGGGTCCTCCGAATAAAGTGTTGTGAGAATATAATCCATACCTCATACTCCAGAATTGGAAACTCTGATTTTAACGGCGTCAAAGTGACTCAAGATAGCTTAATAAGGGCACGTGGTATCACACCAACTTGCCTCGCAGGCTCTCATTCTGACGGCTAAGTTCCAGGAATCCACATAACATGTGGTTTTTTTACTTGCGCGGCCTTTGGAAGCTCACCCCACTCACCAAATTACCGAACTTTAGGTACTACCCTCGGGGTGATTAGCCTGTTCACGCCATTGGCACCAGTTGCGGCGGTAACGATGGGGGCGACGATGATCGGCTCCGGCGGCTGGTTTACCTTCAGAAGCGGGGCGGCCATCGTTGACCGTATAGAACACGAAGAAACGGTCAACCCATTCGCCAGCAAGGACGCCTTCTTCTGCTGGCTGTCCATCGTAGGCACAGCGGCCGGGCTCGGGAGTTATGGGGCCACGATGCGTCTCGCCTCGTTGGCGCGCACGGGCAGTCGGATCGGGATGGTCACTCGTGTCATCGCAAATACTGCCATTTTTGGTAGGATATCTTTCTTTCTCAAGGTTTGCCTACTTTCAGGTTCTCTGGGCATCAATGGAATCGGTGTCATCAGCAATTACGTGATGATCGCAAAAGATATCTCGGAAGGGCGCAAACCGAGCGCCCTGCAACTGTTCCAGGTGGGAATTTGGCTACGAATCTGTGCCCGCAAATCCGTTGCCCGCAAATACGTTTACGTTACGTTTTGGACGGCCTGGACCGAAAAGAGTGTAAATTTTCGCAACGAAGCAATGATCATTTTATATTGTGCGTTGGCGCACACTAAACTAAACTTTTCGATTTTTATGGGCGCGCGGAGCGCTCCAAAAGATACACCATTCTATGCAGAAATTTCCCGCGCATCTTTTGACATTAGTGGTTAAGCGCTCTGGGGACCCGTAAAGCCGATAATTCCGAAAAACCGTCTGGATTACGCGTCATACCTATGTTCCTGCCATTTTCAAGTTTTGTAATGTGTTAGAGAAATGATCCCGACACAAATTCGGTATTATCGCAAAATTTCAGCAGATTTGGTCTGGTAGTTTTCGAGGTATTTTTTCGGTGGCGACCACTTTGAGGCCGATTTTAACTCCAGAATTAAACCCTTAAACTTTAAAAACCATCCCACCCTACTCATTCGACCATGCTCTTTTCGATGGGGTCAAAAAAACAGGGCTGAAGAAACGGTGCCAAGCCTTGTTCGGGTCTCTCGCAAACGGAAAAACTTCCCACGAGAAAAATAGCTATAATAAAAAACTTTAGCTCTGCACCTCGGTGCTTTTCTTCACCAACTCGGTGTTGAACGTGCAGACGGCCAATGGGATCATCAAGGAGGCCGTGACAAATGACCTTAAACGCATACAAAATCTATTGCCGACCGAGGAGGAGCGCCGCTTTTTTGGTAACATCATGAAGGAGAGGAATGGTGAAGGTCTACAGGAGATGCTGGCTCATATGAAAGTAAGTGGGCGCCGCCTCGCTCACCGTTTCCTAGAAAGCAGAGGCGCTGAAGGCCCAAACCAACCCCGACCTGCACCAAGCAACTCAACGACATGCGGCCATGTCCAACGACCTTCGGTATGGTCATCAGTGACCTGGCGGGCGGGGGTTCAAATAGAAAATACCAAAAGTTTGCCAAACTGACCTTACTATTCTTAAATGTAAAAACTTACAAGTTTTTATCAAAACAAAATAGATTTTTTCGACCCAAATTCCGTTTTTCACCGAAATTCCAGCTTAAAATTTTGTTGAAGTTTTTGATGGTGTTTCTAGTTGCAATATAGTGCTATTTTACTACAAACATATTAAAATACTTCCCATTAACTTACTAGGCGTCTCTATACGTATACAAAAAATCTTGCCCCCCCCCCGGAATGCGAAAGCGCCTTCCGTATCCCTTTAGGTTCGCTCTGACTACAACTTTTTTAGTAATTTTTTTACAGCAACGGCCCCGCAGCGATGGGAAAGCTGGACGAAGCAACGTTAGCGCGGGCCGAATTCGCGCATGAAACACGAAAAGGAGGCAGCCTGGCGCACAAAAAGTCCACGAACACCGTCTTCGCCATCGGACAAGAAGAGCTGCAGCGTCGGATTGACCAGAGGATCGGCGCCGATCAGCAAGTCGGACGGCACGATATTACTTTGCGTGGCACCTACCAAGCGGTCGATTGGGAGATCAACCCGTTGACCGGCACGAAAACGAGGACGTACTATGAGGTGGGCCCTCGGTTCTGGAGCTTGCCAAATTTCGATCTTTGTCGTACCTTTGCCGCCGTTCCGTTTTGCAATCACTATAGAGTTTTCCGCTCTCATACAAGTTGACAGTTTCAGGTGCGAGATCCGGTCTTCGGAGTTGATAATGGAAAGGCAATCCATCTAAACTCCAAAGGCACCTACTCAAAGGTCGAAATCCCCGGGCAGAGATTCTACGAGGCGTATCAGAAAGTCGATGGCATCCCGGCGGTCTACTGTGCGCGCCGACGGCGCAATTCGGGCGCCAACGCCCAATAAAAGAGGGCACTGGGCTGAGGCTTACCCATAGTGTCACCGACCAAGCCGATAATTTCATTTCTCGACATGATTCTTAGTGCTTTGCTATCTTTCTCTTCTATAGCGAGTGTGCGGCGGTTCATGAAATCCTTGCGTCACATCTTTTTTTTACACGATAGCCAAGATTTGCTTCCAGTATTCCGAACCCGCACAATTTTTCTGGCAAGTGTTTACTTTACCCCCCCCAGTCTGAAGGTCCCAAAAATTTTTTTTAAGGCCACCGATCGGTAGCCCAAGGTCCCAGCTACTATCCCCTGGCCGGGAATTGCCAAAAAAATAAAAATAAAAATTTATACAATTAAAATAGTATTTGAGCGGCTATTCGAATTTCGCTTGGTTTTGCCATAACTGTTTTATTTTACATGATTTTGGGTTGTAATTAAAACTCTTAGTATATTTTTTTTACGCTCTATCGAATGGCGTTTTTTGTTGTGAAAATGTCGAAAACTAGCTTTGCACCTCCTGTTCCTAGGTCCCGTTTGTTTTGTTTTTGCTGTAACTATTTTATATTACATTATTTTGGGCTGGAATTCAAACTCTGAGTATATTTTTTTACGCTCTATCGAATGGCGTATCAAAAATGCCAAAAATAACGAAAATATCGAAAACTAGCTTTTTAAACTCCATTTTTGAGAGGTTATTTTTGTTTTTGCTATAACGATTTTATATTACAATTTTTGAGCTGCCATAGCAACTCTTAGTATATTTTGGTGGCGAAAAAATCCCGAAAAAACAACGAAAATATCCAAAACTTTGCGACCCTCGGGCTGGGGGGAGGTAAAGTAAACCTTTTTCGTAACCCTTTTTCTTGCCTTTTTAACTTCTGTCGTGACCAAATAAACAGTAGAGACAAACAGACCACTTCAATAACCTCACCACCCCCGAGATCCGCGAAAAGCCGAACACATCATAAGAACTCGCTTATGATTTATCCGCCGCCATGGGGTCGCCAACATGCTACAGAGCTTGGTAACCCGAGATATCAAAATTTTAGTGTCGTCTACTCGGCAGCTGCCCGGGGTGGAAGGCAATTAGAATTCACAAGAAATCGAGGGCGAGACGCTTTTTTAGCTATTGAATGGCCGTATTGCCTTTTATACCGCCCCCCCCCCGCCCAAAAAAGTTTTCGAAGTTGTCTCCAAGGAGTAAAAAATGCCAAAAACATTTTGGTTTAAGTTTCGTACTGCGTTGCTGAGTAATTGTGAGCAATTTGAACTGCTAGAAATCGCTGCAATTGCTCAAAATCACGAAAAATATTTGCTTCGTGTAACACAACCCCTCCCCGGCGCGGCTGGGGGGGAGGGGGAGGCGCCCCGAAATCCGGGGGCCGAAAAATAAGGGCCTATGATTTCCTTGAAATTTTTCGCATGCGGCGCTGTCAGGGGGTAGAAAAAATTTCGGGGGGAAACCTAAAACAAAACATTGGCGAAGGGGGGGGGGTTACATAGCTCTCAAATAGCCGTAAACGTAGCGAGGAAAAATGGAAATATCATAAGGGTCCCCCTTATGAAATTTCGGGCCCGGCCGATTTCGGGCCCGGGGGGCCTTTTCGTCGTCCTGGGCGCTGTCTCTTCTTATTTTTTGCCTGCGGCTCTTTTTGCGAAATTTTTCGCCTGCGGGTCAATTGCGAAAATTTGTTCTTGCTGCCGAATTTCGCCCGAACTTGGGGTCTCTCCCGGCGTGATTGAAAAAAATATAACCCACGGGGTTATATTAGAGGAAATACGGGATTTGCGAAAGTTGTAAAATAACTATTGTAAAATATGATACCATGAAAGCATCTCTTTCGATTTTTCTCTCTCCGACTCGCTCTTTCTCGTTCATCCGGTATCGTTGGCAAGGGAGGCGCATTTGAGCTTATTGAATTTACCATTTGCATCCCAAAGATGGATCCCCGAGCATTCGCTTCCACCTGCACTCGAGCTTTTGTATTTTCTTTTCGTTGCCCACCGAAGGGTGGTGTCGAAACGCCACAACGTCATGTTGCAGGTGATGCCCAGCGAGGCCATCGAAGTAAGTCAGAAGTCGGTCGATCGCGTTGTACAACAAAATGTACGCCCTCTCGACTTTTCCGGATTTCTGAATACAATTTTGAAAGATCCTGCCAGGATTAGGACAACTATGTTCTATAGGGTGTCCCAAACAACTTCATCTAGCGGTCCGCAGTGATAATCGTCAATAGTCCTGTAATGCCATTCGATAGAGCGTCAAAAAATATACTAAGAGTTTTAATTACAACCCAAAATAGCATCATTTAAAAAAGTTATAACAAAACGAACAGCATTCCCCCCGCACAGTTTCACCCCCGCTTACATAGAACAGTACCGAAAGAAAGCTCTCAACAAGCTGCAAAGATATTTTCTCTGTGATTTTTAAAATCCTCAAATTTTCTGCTCGATTTTCATCGTTTTTGCGCTTAAATTGCGCAATTTTCTGCAAAAACTCAATTAATTTAATCGGCTTCAGTCCCATCCAAGCTTTGTTTTCTCATCTAATTTCTTTCAAAAAGCCGACTTTGGGCTGCCAGGAAAGATGTAAAAATTTGGAAATATAGTAAATATTATAAAAATTTGGAACTTCGAAAATCGGAGTGAACGTGTCTTTTCGACTCGCTAAAAGAAATTCGCTGGATATCTAAATCATAAAAACCGGACATCACCGCGGACCGCTAGAGGTGGGTCTTTTTGGGACACCGTGTATTTTTCCTGGGTTAAGCTGCAACTGTTAAACCAAAACGTAATCGCTCTTTTCAGAAGCCGCCCAGTGCCCTCATCTCCTTCGAGGAGTTCACCAAGATGCCGCACGATGTGTGGCTGCTGATCATGGACCTGCTGAACCCGGTCGACTTACTGCATCTGGCCTATTCTGACAGCTACTTCAAGGTATGACTCAATGATAGCGCAGAACGAACAAATCGGTTTTCGGAGCAAAGGCGTGTTTTGAAACATTATTAACAAAATCAAGAAAAAGCGTTTTCAACGAAAAATTGACACTTTTAGACATCCCTTAAGTTTGCAATTTAGTTTCTCACCGGAAAGCTAACTAAATTCTACGGGAAAGGCGATTAAAATACTTTCTGGGACGTCATTAACTCCAGATTTCTAAGGGCACAATTAGGGTTCTTAATCAAGGCTCAGGCCACGGACTGGTAAGCAACAATTTCTAGGAGCTGGTGACGGTCTCGCCGAAGCGATGGGGCCTGATCAAGGCGCAGCTTACCCCTTCTTTTCTCGACGCGAGGTACGATCGAATACTTGCTTTAAAGTTACCCTTTCAGGACCTACAAGTTCATCGATCTTGGCAACTACGTGGGGCCGGCCAAGTTGGCCAAGAAGAAGAAGTATTTGCTCGGCTACGGCGACGAATACGCGTGAGTGTGGCGCCGTGTTGCTTTACCTCCTACATTTAGCTTCAAGCGCTACATGTCCGGGGTCCGGAAGGAACTCGCTGGGTTTTGCCGCCATGTGCCGCCTGACGTTGATCGCGAACCGGCAGCTCTAGATGATCTCTTCATCCTGTTAAACAACGCGGTCTTTGATCTTGTGCGTGCTTTTTTCAAGGCTGTTTGACATTATCCGGGCAGATGGAGTTTCGATAGGATCTAACTTTTCTAATATAAAAGGGCAAGTGTTTCTAGGCTGGATTATGCTTTTCTACTTTACATATTTTGAGTAAAAAATATTTAAAAATGGCGATTTTCTGACTAATGGTGCCCGATTTTTGAAATTTTACAAAATATTATTTAAATTGTGTTCTCATTTTATATTTGATCACGAAAATATGTTTACATTGTATTAAAAAACCGTTAAATAAGTTATAGAAAAAGCCCCCCCCCGATAATACGCAAGAACTTTTGCAAAATTGGGAAACCAAATTTTTGTCTTTTATAGGGTTTCGGCTAAATGCCAAATAATATAATCGGACTAACACCAACTACATGTTTTCCTTACCCAGCCTAATAGCTTGAAAAATGTACAAAGCTTTAAAATCGTCCGATTCCATTTTCACGATTTAGCGAAAAAAAACAGAATTTTTAGTTTGGCTACGGTGTCGACTGGAATCTGCCGGACCCGAGCAAGTACAGGACGGCTCCTCACGTGCGGGCCCACATCGCCCTGATGTCCATCAACGGCCCGAAACTGGAGCTGTGCCGTCATATTGGTATGTAGAATTTGGGAACTTGGGGTCCTTCAGGACTTTTTTGGGACTCCGTATCGATCCCTGGAAAAATAGCGTTTTTGCCCGTTCTTGACTAGCAAATTAATCTAATTTTACCACTAAAATAGATTTTCTTCTTCTCGAAACTCACCAGAAATTTGGCTTTTTTGAAGGTTTTCCATTTTACGAATTTTCTTTAAAAGCTGTTCCGTTTGAATTAAAATACGAAATTGGCCACACAGCACCCGGGGAATCGCAAAACACCCAGATCCTAACTAATTTTTAGCTGCGCTCGAGCCGATGGGCATTGCCATCCACACCAGCACCGCCAACCAGCTCGGCCCCGTCATCTCGGAGGTGGCCATGCTGATGCCGGTTAGACCTGCAGGTGGCCAGGATCAAACATGAGGTTTTTAGGGTCTGAACAGGGCCTGGATTCACTTTGGGAATGAGATGTCAGAATCGGGCGCGCTGGCCGAATTGAAGTGCCCCCACATCATTGCTTTCGTGTCGTTGGTGAAGAAAGGTAGAAAAATCTTTGTTGTCGCTTTCTCTCTCCCCCCTCTCTCTCTCACTCGTATTCTCGCTCTCTATCTCTCTTGCTCTCCCTCGATCTCTGTTTCGCTCTCTCTACCTCTCCCTCGCATTCTCGCTCTCTCGCTCTCTCTCACTATCTCCCTTTTGCTGGGTCTCCTATACAACGCTATATAATACTTTTAGTGAAACAAAATAAGTGCTCCACCTTTGTGGCCCACCCCGAGATGCTCAAGAATTTCACCATCTACTTTATCCCGACACTCCAGAATATGATCTCGGTACAACTATGTGTCCGACATTTTTCAAACACTTTTCAGCAATGGGCAGCCGGGACGCGCGACATCCAGATGATCGTGCTGAACTCACAGGAGACGGCGAAGCTGGGCTACGATTACAGCATTCCGCACGCCTGGGCCAAAGTCGACCCGGGTTGGTGTTATAAAAAAGGGGCTTTCACATTATCGGAGGGACCAACTTATTTCACTCGGATCGCATTTTTCAATAGATGCAGTGATTCTAAGAAGTTTTTAGTATTTATAAACCTCGAAGCCTTTGCTAAAGAACAAGAAAAATATAGGTTTTTGACCAAATTTTCAAAATTTCCAGATCTTTTCACATAGTTTTTTTTTGCCTGAGTCTTTGCCGAATAGCCTTCCCCCCGATAATGCACAAGGTCCCCAGGCTATCGGTTAGTTAGCTTTGCAGAGCTGGAGAAGATTCCCAGCATCCTCTCGGCCGGCCGAACCGATGTGCACCAAGTCTTCAGCTGGACCAACTGTTGCCTGATTCGCAGGGCTCCATTCGTGAGTGCAGCATCAAAATACCCTCCGTTACCTATTGGCTTCAGAGCGAGGAAGGGCTTTTCATTTGCATCGACGGGGCCAACCTCGTGCTCATTTCCTGTAACTACACCTTTCGCAGGTGAGGGTTCTTAAAAAACTTGACTTCAGCAATCGTAAAGGTTCTTTCCCATTATCGGGGTGGGGGCGACTTTTGAAATCTAATCAGCGTAAGTTTTTCTAAAATATATAATTCTCAAGCGTAAAAACTTTACAAAAATTTTAAAACCATACAAAAAAATTTGGTTTTTCGACCAAAAACGCCCGTTTTTGACCAATTTTAATCTTTTGTAAAACGTTTCAAAGCTTTTAGATAGTTTTTTTAATGAAAATATAGCTTATTTTACTAAGAATACGAAGATTTCTCTTTGTAAGTTACTAGGCATTTCTAGATCCATACAAAAAAGATTGTCTTCCCCCTCCCCTCCACCCCCCCGCAATGTGAAAAAGCCTAGTGAAAAAGCTTCGGACCATTTCAGCTTTTTGAATGGATAGATTTCTAACTAAAATGTTGAGCACGAGCCAATTTATATGCCTTCCAGAGACCGCACGCAGCACGATAACACGGTGTACATGAACGAAGCCATCGACATGGGAACCCAGATGCTGATGGAGCGGCTGTATGATGACAAGAATGGAGGGGAGGTGGGTCTTCCCCAGTTAGGTTTTGCGTATTGACGGGAAATCCCTTCTTTGATATAAATTTTTCTATCCGGAGCTGTAGTAATTTTTATGCTGCTTTATACTGTTAAAGGCGTAAAAATTTTCGCTTTTCACGTGCGGTTTTTGTGCAAGAATGCTTCTTGTTCCGTGAAACTAAAAGTTTTTTTGCTAACCGCCTAAATCTTTTTTACTAAAATATAGTTAACTTTCACGATTTAGCTCCGGCGCGAGGCACTCGTCAAGAACTGGGAAAGCCGCGAACCGCACGGCTCGCTTCCCATCCACGAGCAAATCATTGACCAAATGGTAATTTCGTAATGTTGGTACAGGACGCTTGGCCAGGGGGGATTAAGTTTAGTTTTAGTTTATCTCCTTTATATTCTATTTTTTTTATTATTTTGATTTTTACATAGTTTTATTTGTCTTTACTAATTTTCATAGTGTTTTAGTGCTTTTTAAGTGCGAAGAAATTATAAGAACTCTTTTTCAAATTCGCAAAATTTATATATTTTTGCCCATTTCTCTTACATCTTTTACCTGAAAGACAAGAATACACAAAAATTTTATGACTTTTTAGGTGAAATTTTTTACTTGACACCATGAAAAATTCTATAAAAATTGTCTTTTTTGCGTAGTGCTGGTTACGGGGTGAAACAGAAGGGTCCACCCGTGCTAACCACCCCCTTCAACAGTCAAGCTCCTGAATTGCAAGAAGTACTGTTGTTTCAGCTGTACAGTTGGCCCGCACACGAATGGCCGTTCACCGTGGGTACTTCGGTCTCTTGGTCGACCCTGTGGCTCGAAGCTATCAATAAAAAAAGCATTTTCAGGACAAGTACTACCGCCCGCACGTGGACCCGATCTTCAATGCCTACAAGAAGCTAAGCGACAAGTACCCGGTCTTCGACAAAACCGATCGATTCTGATGCTCCTTTTTTGAATCCTACTTCACCCCCTTTTTCTGATGTGTATTTCAAAAGTCTCGGCTCCTGTTTTTCTTTGATCTCGACTCGTGTGTAAATTGGATCCATAGGCACTTTATTGTATGTGATGATGTAATGTGATGTCGTTGCTCCTTTTTTGTAATCTAACTTTCCTTCGCGCTGGTGCTCATGAATTTTATCTGGGATAAAGCAAAAATTGATCGAGCGATGCGCTGCGGTTTCCTCAGAGAGAGAGAGAGAGAGAGAGAGAGAGAGAGAGAGAGAGAGAGTAGAGAGAGCGAGAGAGATATAGAGAAAAAGCGAGACAAAGAGACAGGGAAAAGAGAGAGTTAGAGAGAAAGAGAGAGAGAGAGAGAGAGAGAGAGAGAGAGAGAGAGAGAGAGAGCGAAAGAGGATGAGCTAGAGAATGAGGGAAAGAAAGAGAAAAAGCTAGAGGGAAGCATTACCTGGCTTCTAACCCAAATTCCATAGAGGTGTTCCGTGAAGCCTGATCTTTTTTCATGGAAAATGGCGTGCCGGGTTTGCCAGGCCGTTTTCTTGCACCAGAAAAAAACCCATCGATTTTTTTGGGCCCGGGAAAGCAACTTCGAGATACGAACGCCAAGCAAGCCTCCCAATAAACTGCCAAGGCCCCAATTCCATCTTTTTTGATGCGGCTATTTGAATTCGTTTTTATTCACGATTGATTTGCCGCACAAATGGTAAATTACGGTGAACTAATTTCCTCTGGCTCATTTGGCACCGTCTATCATTGGGAAAATGACAAGATGTAAGTCCGGTCATCCATTTTTTGGCTTGACCAAAATATTTAGTTCCTTTGCTGTGAAACTGTTAAAAAATCAAAAGCTCTACAATGCTTACTTGGCTGAGATGGATACGCTGAAGAAGTTGACGCATCAAAATATTGTTGAGTACAAGGACATGCCGCCAGGGTTTGAACCGGCACCTGGTGACTTGCTGATATTTTTGGAATATTGCGCTCATCACTCTCTGCATGATGGTATGCCTAAGGTCTTGCAAAAGTACAGACTCATGAGTAACAGCCCCAAAACCCCTCGGGCCTTGGGCGCTGGAATGCTGGCTTTGCATGAGAAATTTGACTTTGCGATAGCTCGGGTCCGGCGCCCCCTTCCCCTCCCCGACCAAACACGCGAGTGCAACTGGCAAGAATGAGGAACTTTGTATTTTTCACTTCATGCAAATTAGCCCTCCCGGACCCCAAAATTGAATAAAACCGGCTTTAACTTTGTAAACTTGTATTTTAACGAAATTCTGAGAACGCCATCGAAAAGAGGAAGGTCGATTCCCCCAAGTAACGGAGAATTGGGGCGTTTTGGACACGGGAAGGGCCTCAAATCTGGCCTCGAAACTGACCTCCGCACACACACACACAAAGATACGCGACCAAATTATATAAGGTAGGATAATTTTTTTGCTTGGTAAGACTCCAGACAACCCCCCAGCCGGCACCCAACTTTTGTATCTCGGCTCCCTGTTCATCTACAGGTGTGTAAAATATACCAAAATGTTTGTCTTGCTCTGGCGAGTATTTTGGTATACAGGGTGTCCCAAAAAAAGACCCCCCAAAAATTTGAGCCAGAGGGCACCTAGAGAGCTGAATTTGCACAGAGGTAGGAAGGCAATTTTCTATGAACAAGGAAAGTTTCAGCCCGATCGGCCAGCGGGTTTTAAAGTTATAGCGAAAATACTTTTCATTTTTAATTTAAGATGGGGATCTTTGCAATTTGCATCAAAGATATGCGTTATTCTTGCATTTACGAGCCGATTTTGCATAAATTTCGCTGAAAAGTGCCATTTTCTTGATGGAGCTTTTGGAAAACGATTGCTCATGTAGCGAGAAAATGATCAGCAAGAACGATGAATACCAGACCTCATGGCGAAACTATCGTTGAACGCTTGAGCCTGGCTTAAACTTCAGCGTACTGCATTGCCAAATCTAAACTTCAACACTGTTTTCGAGCTCGTCGAACTCTGTTTTCGGGCCGACGAGCAAATTGCCAAAATGGACAATAACAAGTGTTTGGATCGATAACAGTTGTTTTAACACTCTTTTTATTCTTCGTACGCAATCGTTTTCCAAAAGCTCCATCAAGAAACTGGAATTTTTCAGCGGAATTTATGCAAAATCGGCTCGTAAATGCAAGAATAACGCATATCTTTGATGCAATTGCAATATCCCCATATTAAATTAAAATGAAAAGTATTTTCGTATAACTTTAAAACCCGCTGGCCGATCGGGCTGGAACTTTCCTTGTTCATAGAAAATTGCCTTCGCTACCTCTGTGCAAATTTTCAGCTCTCTAGGTGCCCTCTGGCTCAAATTTTTGGGGGGTCTTTTTTTTTGGGACACCCTGTACTTTACATACCTGTGGATGAACAGGTATGCGGGGGCCAGCTGGGGGGCTCACTGGAATTTAGCCTGTTGCTTGCTTGCTGCGAAAAAAAGCAAAGGCTTTTTAAAGTTTCTTTTCTAAATTTTCTGCATGCTGCAAATCAGCTTATCGTTTTAGTTATTCTCTCCACAAAATATGTCTACCAACTCGAAAATGTGCAAATGTGGCTGTACGATCTGTTTTGTGGGCTCTACTATCTGAAGACCGAACATTCTGCTGTTCACCAAGATATCAAACCGCTTAAGTAGGTCGACAAAAGCAACTGAGCTCACCATTCGCGTTTTTCATTGTAAAAGACATACGATGGGTCGCGAGTTTTCGTTTTTAGCCTAAGCTTGCCTTTAAGCCTATGCCTCAGCCTAAGCCTAGGCCTAAGATTAGCATTTTGATAACTTTTAAAAATTTATGATTGATAAAATGGGTTATCCTTTCTGATAGGGCCACGAAAAACTCAAAGTCGCCTTGCGAATATTCCAGTAATGTCCATTGATATCAAAATTTTTAGCCTGCTGGTTTCCGGCGATTTCCTGCTCAAGATTGGCGATTTTGGCACGCTGAAAATTTTGGAGCCAGCTGAAAAATATCCTCCAATCCCTGTGGGAACCAAGAATTACATGGCACCCGAATATCTGAACGTCGCAGCAAATCCCCTATCTGCCGAGGTCGGTCGGCTTTCTTGGAGCTTTACACCCCTGGAAGCCTTGGGAAGGACCAATTCCAGCACTTCTACAAGGCCGACGTCTACGGCGCGGGGGTGGTTCTATGGGAAATGATCACACGGAGGTATGCGGAATCTCAATATTCGGATGGTTTTGACATGTTTAGTGAGGCTCCTGCGGCTACAGACGATCGTGTTCTCGCGGTTGGTCAACACGTCCCTGAAGCGCTTCGAGAAGTCTTGTCCCGGTTCGTGGTTGTTCAAAAATACAGTTTTCACAAATCATAAAATATGGTAGAACTTTCTAAGAATCCTATTCTCTATGAAGTCAGCTGTTCCTCTTCCGCTTATTAGTTCGGGTTTCAAGTTTTAAGTTAAAGCAATCGTTCGACAAAATGTAGGGTATTTTAACAGTACTGCGTAGCCTTTCCCCTAGTATCTAAAAAATTTTTACGCACCTTACGAACATTTTTGACCAAAAACTGATTTTTTCGAATTTTTGGGATTTTGTCTTGGGTTTTTTAGATTTAAGGCTGCATAAAACGCTATAAAAATTGATTGTCGCGATGGGCACCTTCGGGGTTGCTGGGAGGATTAATTTCACTCGTGCTAAAATTATTTTAAAAAATACCAACTTCTACCGATTTCAGTTGTCTGGAGAAGGACTTCAAAACTCGTGCCATCTCCGAAGAAATTTGCCGTAACATTGCCGAATACGGGAAAGTAAGTGCGGCTACAACAAAATTTCGAAAATTCGACTCTGTTCTCAAAGGAAGTCAACCCCCAGAAAATAAGAGAATGTCATCTGATAAATCGGACAGGGGTCGAATCTGTAATCAGAATTAATAAAACGGAGAAAAGTTATGAAGCTTCAAAGTTGGCCAAACCCAAAAACCGTACTTAGGGGCCGAAAAAGGTGGAAGGATTGGGAAATATCTTGTTAACTCGAATGAGCTAATTGTAGTCAAACATGAGTTTTTGGTCACGGAAGGGTTGGCTAGTTATAGAAGAGATCGGAAATCATGTAGGTAAGGTAGTATTCGGCCTTTTTGCTGAACGTCAATGGTTGTGGCTCCCCTGGGCCGGCCATGTCGATTTTGGGCGATGCTAACTTTGAAGATACTTTTCTCCTTTTTTAATGATCAGTTCGACCCCGTTCCGTTTCAGTCCCTGTTCGTGTCGATGGTGCCCCGATTTCCCGAAGGCAATTTCGGCCAGTGTCGGACTCCAGCAAAAACTACCTAACCGATCCGATCACGGCATTGGCCCTAAACGAAGCGGGCAAAGAGGAAACAAAAAATTCTTGGTGTCGTTCCGTAGCTGGTTATGACGCCCCGGAAGTTGGCCCCGAAAAATGTCTCGAATTCGATGCTTTTCTGCAAAAAGTCAAAGCGAAACCGGACTTTGATGCATGGACGATTAAGAAGCGATTACTGGTAAGTTTAGGGGAATTCAGACTAGGGAAAATTGCTGGTTCGATACCGAGATTTGATCAAGCTAACAAGGGGCTTTTAAGCGCGCTAAAACAGCAAGATAGTCCGATTTCGAGGGAAAGATCGCTTCTGGAATGTTAGCCGGGGAGGGGGGATTTTTAGCGGAGCAGGGAAGCCACTTTTTTGTGCACCTATGCACCTACCCGTTGCTGATACATTATGTATTTTTATCGTTTTTGGTAGTTTTTGATTGCTAGAAAGTTTTAAAAAATATCTTCATTATTTAAGAAATTCCCAAATTTGACCTTTTGAGTGATTTTTTTTACCAAAAAGCCTAAAAGTTTCGAAGTTTTTTTATTTGTATCAAAAATGTTAATTTGTTTAGGGCCGTAGAGAATCACAGGAAAAAATTTGATTCCCTTCGCTAAGATCCCCCGCAAACAGTCCAGTACTAAAAGATCTCCCGGGCCCTTGTTCAAAACTAGCTTGTCGCTAGAAAGGGTCTCCTTGTATGCTAATTTTGCTGGTCCTCACAGCAGACAATAGAATCCTGTGCGCCGTTTCAGGTTCCGCTCGACCACTTTGTTAAATTTCTTGCCATCCCTCTGGATGAGGCCAAGGACATAATGTGCGATGCCGAAAATCCGGGAACCATCCGAGAAGCCGTTGAAGCTGAGCTTGTTAAAGCCACGCTGACCGAATTATCTGAAGTCACAGAACAACGGGGGTTCATGAAAGAGGTGGAAGCCGAGAATAAGAATTATCTGATAAATGGTGGTGATGTGTTGAAGACGGAACCCGTGCAACTGTCCTGGTACCTGCAACGACGGTATGAAAACATGATTCTAATGAATTACATGTTTTCAGAGAGCTTCCACCGTCGGTCAATCAAGCCATGGCACTACTCGGCTTCGACTACGAACTCCAAAATACGGTCATGTTCCTTGCGTTTGATGTGTTGTGGGAATGCCTTCGGGATGATGGCCGCCTCGCCCCGATTGACCTCTACAAATTGGCCACGATCGCCGTCAAGCAGCTTAAGGAGCTGGACAAGATATTCACGCGGCGCCTGTTTTACCCTATCTATCATTATGTGTCCCCGCGAGATGAGTGGATACTGGTTGAAGAGCCCGGCATATTGTTTTCAAAAAACTTTACGAAAGCTCGCAAGGATTGGCGTGAAGATCCGAATATGTTTGATGCGCAGGAGAAGGAGCCGATTGGTATGGTTTTCGATCTTTTTGTCTGAAGAAGAAGAAATAAAATTTTTTCGATTTTCCTATTTGCCGAATATCCAAGGTATTATATTATGCTATAGTGTTTTGTTCACGAAGAAACTCAAAAAGCTTTGGAAAATTTAGAAAGCCAATTCGTTCGAAAAGCGGCTTTATGGACGAAATCGTATAGGGTATTATTATAGCTTTTTGTTTGCTTGTGATTGTATTACCTATACAAAAAAGATCGTCTTCATCTGGCAAAGATTTTGTGATCTTTTACACCTCTCTTTACAAACGGGTAGCCGAGGTAACAAATTTGGAAGAAGGCTGGCGGACAATTTCAATCCAAGTGACTGTTATTTCAGATATTCAATACATTCTACGCGCTCTAACCAAGGAACTGGCACTCCTGATCCATGGAAATCCGTATCAACAACGCGTCTACAACCGAATGATGACGCACAAAACACAAGATCACTACCAGCGTGAAACGAAGAACAACCTGCGAAAAACGGATCCACTGCGGATCAATTTGCCGCACGAGATTCGTCAAATCAAATACGAAAACGAAGCCGAGTTTCGGCAAGTGTTCGATAATTACAAAGGGCCCTTCAAAAACTACTTCTTTTTCTTCAACGAGCCGCCGGTGTTGAAATGCTTGCACGAGCCGCAGTGCTCGACAATAGGTGGGGTTTCGATTTTGTAGTTGCTTGTTTTTTGGGCAGTAGAATTTCAAACTTAAAATTTTTTGGTTTCTAGTGACAAAGTGGTTTGCACCTATAAGGCCTCTTGTGCGAAATTTTGCGGTCATTCTGGGTCTTGTTTTGGAATTTGCGAAGTCACCCGATTAAAAATTTTTGTCATGCTTTGAAGGACTAAGATTTCAAATTTCGTCGCCGAGCTAAATCAGCTTTTCCTAAATCTTGGAATATCATCGCTAAGCAAAATTTTGCAAAACAAGATTTCGATTTAGCCTACCCACCAGATGTGACACCCGGCCTTGCCGTCCACTACTTCAGCTGTACGGATGAAGATGAACAAAATTTCATCAAAATGCACTCTGTTATGGACCGAGCCCTTCGCTACCTGCGATACTTTAAAAATATCGAATCAGCGCTATGTCTACGCTACCTGCTTTCGGACCTATTGGCTGAAGGGCTGGCGCTGAAGGATGTCATTTTCCATTTTCTCTGCTTTTCCGACGAGCGCCGATTGACGGAGAACAGATGGGAACCATTGATGCATTTCAAGGAATTGGGTGCTACGGATTATCCGGAAACCTTTTTCATTGAAGCTCCGGGACCTCGGGAGCTGTATGCCTGGTCTCCGGTTTTTGATCGAAAAACTGTCAACGACAAGGTGATGGTGGTGAAGGACGTTGCAAAATTTGGATTTGGACAAATCTGGCCGATCATCAGTCGACTGCAGTTTTGGCTGGACGAGTATCATGGTGAGTGCAATTGTTTGCTATTTCTAATTTAATTTAATTTTCCAAAGTGAAAATGCGATAGCGTCATTGCATTTTTTATTGCGTACCGAGGGTTATCTCACATTAAATTCAACTTTTTGTATACGTATAAAATTGAAAATTTAATACCAAGTTAGAAAATTAGTTTCTCGCCAGACATCCAATTTTTCGAACCCGCTTCTAATTTTTTTTGTATGGGGGGGGGGTTTTTTTTTTTTGTGTTTTTTAAAGGGACGGGGAGGGTAAAGTAGGGTCAAGCCGTTTTATCTGCGATTCGCATCTCAAAAAAAAATGCTTTTCAGATCCAAAACGTCATGCGCGCCGGGACATCCTTCCCGTCGCTTATCGTCTTGATGTCGTCAAGCACTTCCAGGAATTCCACAGTGGAACGTTTATGCTTCGCCTAAAAACCGAACGTCGGCAAGAATCGAAGAACCGCAAAAATGCTCGACCATCATATCGGCAGGAAAGAAGAGATAAGGCAGCACAGTGGTACTAGCTCGATTTTAAAGAACAAGATCTGAATCTTTTTTTGTTGAATTTATCGTTGTTTTGCGGGTATAAAGTTGGTACATGATGCTGTAGACAGTTATATTGTTTTTATTATGATAGTGTCCTTCGCTTTGTCATTCCACTAACCAAATGAGCGTTAAAATTTGTCCCTGCCAATTTGATGGCCCTTTTTGAGGCCCACCATGTGGCGGAAAATTACCATAAAATGGGTGGCTACGGTAGCTGTGACACAGATTGTAAGGGATCGGAAAACCCAAACTTTCCCCGGATTTCATCGATCAGCCCCTCGGTCTATGTCTCGTCACTCACTCTCTCTTTCTCTCTCTCACTCTTTCTCACTTTGTCTCCGGCTCAAAGGTTCAATGCGATTCGAGCAACAAATTGAGAGAGCGGTCGTAAATCCCTTAGAGAGCCCCTGTTTGTCACCACTTAATTTCGAAGGGAAGACGAGCTTGAGGGTGTTTACGGTATCTGACCCGAAATGTCACTCTCCCTTTAAAGAGCCCCGCAAGACAGCGGTATGAATTTTGTTGGCTATGGATCCGCTAGATTTTTCCAGGTGTGCGAGACGCAATGTGGGCTAATCGCTTACGCCATAAGAAACTTGAAGAGCGCGATGCGTGCCGCGATTGCGGACAAATCTATCTCCATGCCCTGCTTGTCCCTTTAAAAGCTATTCCAAGCTCTCCCTCCCTGTACCTACAAATTGACAAAGAGCTCATAAATCCCATCTCCCCACCCAAAGGCCCCATTTGTCGACTCTAAATCTCGAAAGGTGAGACGGAGCTCCTGGCTTGGAGCATGAGGCTGCACCTCTGCCCGCTTGCCCTGGCCGCTGTCGTAAACCCGACCCGTCGGCGCGTAAAAGGGACTGTAAACGGGAGCCGGGCGGAGGCGCCCAGGTGAAAGGCTGGCCGCCCTTTTTATTTCCACCTGACCCCCAAATTGTCTTTTAGCACTCGGGGGCCAGTCAGTCTTTGGAGAGGGTGACGGAACGATTAACGACATCACATCTGAGGGATGGCTATCATCAACAAGAGGGATGGGATTGTTGGCTTATTGATGCTGTATACATAAAAATACCTCAAAGTAATGGAAGTTGAATTTTTTTAGAATCAGGATTCAGCTCTGCGGCGTGCGGAAGGTCCTTGGAAAAATTGAAATTGTTAAGTTATGGATTGGGCTCTGGTTACTGAAAAAAAAGCAATCCGGAATTGTTAATCCGCAGGAATCTCTGCTAGCAGGTCCTAGCAGGGCACATTGATTAAATTTATGTATTGTAGGCTACGCAGGCTTGATCATCGAAAGTACAGTTTCCTCGATGGCGATCTTGAGCCAACGCCGAACGGAAATCCCTTAAAGGCTTCTTGAATTGCACTGAGGTAAGCGCCAAAAAAACTCCACAATTTTCTTCTACAAATTCAAGAAATTTTACGGATTGTCATTTTTGCTCAGCTGAGGTTAAATATATTACAGGAGGTGTGAAAGTTAATACAAGATTTTGGAAAACCGCCTGAATCTATTTTTTTGCGCCAGCGTGATCGCCATCGAGCTCCCTATAATCGATCGATCTCGGTAAGTCCAGGGCCAATTTTGTAAAGCAACAGTGAGAAAGAGCGCCAAAAAGCAAAAATTATCAAAATAGCTTCGAAATTGACCAATTCCCGCATTTACGTACAAACGGAAATAAAAGGGCGCGCAGCACCGTCGCGTCGCCGCCGCATGCCGTCAAAAAATCAAAACTCTTTGCCAGGAGTCAACGCTGTCTGCGTGGACCTGATTTCTGAACCTCTTTAATCCATTACCAGCAAAACATTTTTCCAGTGTTGCATTGCCCGTCCCTTTAATAATAAAGCAAGCTCCAGCTCCACGTACATACCGAAACAACATACGTTCATTTCCACGGACCACACTAATAGCCAGCCCACGTTTGCCAGCTCCTTAACTCGATCGACCATTAGTCCTCTGCTTTTTCCTACCCCTCATAACGACACAACATTGCTAGCTTTTGCCAGCGAATCGGGCTTTATGACCAGCTGGGATATCCGGGCTGGCGCGACGACTTCCCTCCCTCATTTTATTGGCGGGTATCGGGGGCAACTCCGCCCCTTCCCACTATACTCCGCCTAGACTACCGTAACCCCATCTCCGCCTCACCGGGTCGGCATTCCTTTGATGTGACACTAGGGGGAGATTTGTGGGCCAAACACCCAACGATGACTAATTGTTTGCTGAGCAGTTATTGGATTTTTGACGTTACTTCTTCTGGGAGATTCTGGCTGCTACTTCTGACAAAGTTTCACGATTGTTAATTTACTAGCACCTTAATTTGCTAAATTTTCTTAAAAACGACTTCCTCTGAATTTTAGTTCGGATTTTCATGAATTCTATTGTTTTTCAACAATTTATGAAACATTTTTCTCAATTTTGGCCGTTTTTTGGTGTCCAGCCGCCTTTAAATGCTCTCTAAAGGTTTCGATTGCCGAGCGGTAATTTTTGCTTCCTACCACTCTCTCGCTCACTCACGGCATCTCTCTGACCCGCTCCCTCTCGTTCACTTTTGCTGGCTAACTCTCTCGCTCACTCTCGTTCTCTCCCTCTCGCATCCCGAGCTTCCTGATTTGCTATCACTCTCCAAAAGGGATAGGATTTTTGTGCATGGAATTCTGACTGCTTGTAAGACAACCAAAACCTTGCATGATTCTGAATAGAAAAGCACCCGCTGGGCAACACTGATCGGCTATAGGCAAAAAAAATCTATACTGCCATGCCCGTCCCTTTAAAACCTCATGCTCCCAAGGTCTAAATCAATGCATCAATGCCCCAACCCGCAAGGGGCATCGTTTATCAAGTCAAGCGGCCCTGCCGGTATTCGCTCTCTCCCTCCCTCTCTCTATCCTTGTGTGTTCCCCCTATTTAGTGCCCCATCAACGGTCCACCCATAAATGTCCCAAGAAGGCCTTTCGGTCCTCCCTTCCCCTCTCCTAATGGCCCCCCATCGTCTCGCAGCGGCTGTCTAAATGAATTGACCGCCAGAATCCGATAACGGACGGCCGGCAGGGGGTGATGATGGGGTATTAAAAAATTGCGTTGCTTAAAAAAATTTGATGGCTGTCCTTTGGACTGATGAGGAATTTGAAGCGGGGTCAAGGTGTAGAAATCGGGATCGGTGTTTGGAAGTTACGGAAAAGGATTTTCAGCAAGTAACGAAGCTAGAAATTATCTTAGTACAAGGAAGACAGAAGAACCGAACCTGGCCGCAGGTCCAGAAAGAGACCGAGAGAGCGAAAGAGAGATTGAGAGAGTGAGATAGAGACAGAGGCAAAGTGAGAGACAGAGTGAGAGAGCGCGAAAAAATCGTACTAGCAAGGAATTTCCAGCAAAACATGAATTTTATAACCCACCAGCTTTTCCTCATTCCCAAGCCCCAACCCAATCAGTCTATCGGGAAATTATACCCTGAAATCAGCACCTGCCTCAATTTAGTTGGGTTATAAAGGTAGATTCGGTTCACACCCGTGGCTTCCCTTTATCATTTTGGTAGGTGGACCCATAAATATTTACGGGGAGCAGCCCCAGGCAGCCCCCAAAAGAAGAGGTGAGGTGCGATGCTTTGGCCAACAGACTGAGTGATAGCTATAGGTCTTTCTCATTAGGTTCCTTGTATAGTTTTGGTTTTAAGTAGCTTAATTACCTTTGAAAAAAACTGAGCCAGACGTTCAAGCAATCCTATAAGAATTTCTGCTTACTTGTCTTGCTTATTTAGTGACACTGGCTGGACAGTTACGTGATTTTCTAGTGTGAAACGAACCGTACCTTTTAAGGTATGAATAAGCGGTTGCGATTGTTTTTACGACTTCAAATTATTGAAAATTTTTTAAGGCTTTTTAACGTGTCTCCAAACGTCGTCGTCTTGTCGAAATTTATCCATCGCGCGTTCTTAACGTCGAAATTTTATGATGTCTAAGTTTTATGTTTTCAAGCTTTCTGGATGTCGCAATTTCATTTTAAATTTCAATTAAAAATAATTGAAAAATCCGAAGCAAAATCCCGCAAATGGTGTCAAATATTTCGGCATATTGAAATTTCCACCCCCCCGCCCGTAAATTTGGAGATTATGACACTATAATAACAAACCGGTTGCAAAAGTTATTATTTCGACTTCATCAGCGATCCCGTCTTCCTTCGGGGCATTTTCCCTGTACCATGTTTTTTTCAGGCATGTCCGCCGACCCCGGTCCCTCCACCTCCGCAGTAACCAGTTCCACGAACAACTTCTCCGTCGCCAATCTCACCTCGACATCTCCAAAACTTCCTGTATTCGCCAATCTACCCCAATTCCCACCAATCGCCTTCCTCCAGCTCGTTTCGCAGTATATGGCACAGAATTCAGCCACAGCAGCTAGGAGGGCGGAATTGGAGGCTAGCCAAGAAGCCAGCAACTCGAGGAAGAGGAAACGGAAACCGAACTCGACCGCTGATTCGAGCCCGTCTTCTGAGAAATCGGTCAAATTGGGAAATTACGGCGTCCCATGTGGAGAGCTTCCTACGACTTCTACCGTAATCTACGAAGAAAGTAGGACTCCGGAGAGGAGCGCTGAGGAAAAGGTAATTTTAAATGTTCCGAAGCGGAATCTTCGGAATTTTTTGGAAGAAATCTTGGCATTAAAGGGACTAGCAAGTCGCGGCTAGCGTTTTTATTGGCACTGGCTTGCCATCGATTTCTCAAAAGAACCGGTAGGTGACGGAGGTGAAACTCGTGCGTCGTGACCGCGTGCTCGTCAATATCTATTTGGTCTCGGACTTGCAAGTCCCTTTAATTTAAGAATGAGCCGTTTGTAACGTAAATTTTGCGTGCAGCGTATAATTTTTAAGTTAAGAATTCCAGGATGAAGCCCAGAAACTTATCCAAAATGCGCTATCCGAGATGAAGAAGTCGAGAGCAAGAAGGGAATCGGCAGAAGACCAGGTTTGTAATTGTCTAAGGCTTAGCTTGCCCGACCGTAGATTTTTGACTGGGCTATTTTTGGTCGAAAAAACGTCTGGAGCCATTCTGAATTTCTATGATTAACGCCATTTTCTCATTAATTTAATGCATCGATGGAATCAAGCAAGCTGTATTCCAATATGTAAATCCAGTTGTTTCGTTTTGCCCCAGCCGTCACCCCAGTAAATTCCCGTGTTCCACCCTGATCGATTTATTCCCAGCCGTAAATCGCCGATTCGGGCGCCGGGATGGCCGTGCCGAAAACTGTTTGCCCGGCTTCTGGCTATATTGTTCCAACGTCGGAGCTTGATTTTTATCATTTTAACGTTTTCTTGCAATTTTTAAGCACAGTCAAAACAGTGGCAAAGCGGAAAATGGATTATTCATTTAAAATATAATTAAATCTGGATTCCAGGGACGAATCTCGACACCGCCTGGCGAGATGCATCCTGCCGATATTGAGACTATGGCTAAAATCAGGGGACATCCGATGTTTCCGGTTTTAAAGGTATGTTTCTTACCATGTACAATCAAATTTTGTCTTTTTCGTATTTTTAATCAATTTATTTCATATGCCTTTTCAGCTCTTCACGGAAAAAGTGGAGTCCGCTACGTACGAGATGAAGAGCAGCGTTTTCAAGCTGACCGATGTGGAAGCGGTAGGTATTGTTCTGTAAAAATATTTATGTTCGTTAACGCACCAGGCTACCCTATTGTTTGCAGCTCTTCGTCGAGCTTGAAGCACAAGGAGCGAGCCCAAGGACCGAAGACCTGGAGGTGAGGACTACTTTTGCTGCTCTTTGGGGTTACCGTATCTCTATGATATACTTTTTTACTAGCACCCTTTTTTAGCTAGATCGCCTTGTCTGGGATGCCATCTACGTGATGCGACTCCACCTAGCCGAGCTGGCTAGAGTGGCAAAGCTTGCAGAGGATTTTAGGGCCAATTTTTCAGGTAAGGTTTTGATAACGGTAGAAAAATAACATTTTCACTCAGCTTCCCTCAAGAAACGGGTGAATCACGAAACGTTGATCGGCGTAATTAATGAGAGTGACGAGGAGGCGTCAACGTCGGACGGGGAGTCGAATTCGGTGAGTGCCGAGAATCGCTGTCTTTCTCTCTGCTTCTATCTGCCTCTCTTTTACTCTTTCTCCTTCTCTCTCGCTCTCTATCTATCTCTCTCTCTTTTTCTCTCTCTCTCTCTGTCTCTCTCTCGCACCCTCCCGCCCTTCATGTCTCTCTCACGCTACATCCACTAATTCTAGAGGTCCTCCCTACGCGACCATCCAGCCAACACTACTGTAGCCATGATGAATACCCCACACGGAACACTCTCAATCCCCCTGACACTACCACCGATAAACCACCACCTATCAGCAGATTCTTACGACTTGGGATCCCCGGCTGGAAAGGTAGGCACGACGTTAGTTGCGCAATGCTTCAAGAGAGTCTGGCTTTCCGGAAAGAAATCCAGTAGTCGTGAACATTCCCCTAGACGTGAATAATTGAAATAATGGAATTTTGGGTTGTTAGCTTTATAAAGTTGCATAGATATATCGTTACATCGTGTTCTTTTCAGAGAACCCGCTTTGACTTCGACTCGGTCGTCTCCCACGGGTCTTCTGGATTTATGGAACGTCTTGGATCCTCACGGGATTTGTAAAAAAAAATTCTCATTGCCATAACTGTTCCGACATTTTTTGGTTAGTGTTTGAGGAGTCCCATGCTCAAAGGGCATTTTCTTCCCCATGCAGAGCTGCTTTTACGTGTCCTTTTTCCTCTCGGAATGCTTTCGCCTATTTTAATTTCTTGCCTTCATTGGTCCTTTAAAATAGATTTTTGCTAATACTAAGCGTGATTTTCATCACGCTTCTGCGTTTTGACTTTTTTTTATTAGGATTTTTTTTTTTTTTTTTTTTTTTTTTTTTTTTTTTTTTTTTTTTTTTTTTTTTTTTTTTTTAAATTTTTTTTTTTTTTTTTTTTTTTTTTTTTTTTTAAAAAAAATATGTGTAATTTTTGAATATTTATTGTTGTTTCTTGCCTCTCGTCTAGTGCATTTCCACTTGTGATAATTACCACATGACCAAAGTATAAACCAGATACAATTTACTTAAAATACATGTTACAGCAAAATTTGCATACGATTTTGATATAAGCCGATTTGAATCTCGATTTCCATGCGTTCCCGGGGTATAAAAGCAAAAATTCAGTACCATGAAATCATTTCCAAAACCAGCCCCCACCCTGCCGGCAGGATGTCCGTCGGTCAGCCATTGGATGGTCGGTATTCTAAATGCCTTTATGCTAATTAGCCAGATGCTAATTAGATTTTCATTGAATTTTTGCCTTTTCAGCTGAAACGGCGGCGCTGGTCACCGAGCTGCGCCAGATGAAGGCGGAGCTGCTCGCGGATGGGAACCTGCTGAAGGAGTTGAAGTGGGAGCTTGCGGGCTATTTTTTGTCTTGATAATGCCTTTATGCAGATCTAGAGCAGATCATTCTGAACTTTTTGTCAATACTCTGGCCCAATGTCCCTTTCCAGTCGCCAAAACGAGGAGATGGACGCGCAGATCGAAGAGCTGACGCTGAGGTGTGTTCGGATCGACGACGCGTTTCACGGATTTCCGGACGAAGCGAAACTTCCATTTTTCAGCGAGAGGAACCTCCGGTCCGATCTGGCCGAGCTGCAGGAGATCGAGAGTCGCCACCAGGGCCAGCTGCCGATCGACACGCTGCGCAACCTGGACCACGTCTTGGTGAGGGGCTGACGGGATCATGCTAACGCTCAATGTGCCGGCCTGTTTAACGTGATCATGCTCGCACGTTGCTATGCGTGTCTCGGCAGCGATGCGTGATGCGTCGCGTGATGCATCGGGTACGCGAGTCGGCGGTGCGTGTAGCGCGTACGAACGCGTAGTGCTGGTTGCTCCTTACGTCCCACCGTTGCTCGGCTTGTCACATCCGCGCGTCACGTATTTGAGATCCTACGCACGCTGCACTGCCTATTCAATGCGTCACGTGGCGTGGCCTATGCGTTGCGCAGCTGCTGTGTCACGCTTCCCAAAACCCTCCTGCTAAGCATCCCCATTTCCAGGAGTACGAGGCCGACTCCCAGGAGAAGGTGCGCCAGAATGCGGTGACGCTCCGGCTGATGGCCCACGAGCTCCTCCTCCGCACCATCATGAACGAGCGCGTCGCTGTTCGGGTATGAGCATCAGCAAGATGAAGACTCTTTACATTCTAGGAGCTCGCCTCGCAGGAGGCGCAGTTCGAGCGCGACTGCAACGATGCGATGAGGGCCCGGAAGCTGCTGGCGGATGAGGTGGAGCGAATGGCGCGGCAGTGTGAGGGCGGAATGCTGAAGAAGAGGGACCTGTACAACGTATGGTTGCTCATTTGAGGCGCATTAATGGATGTGCTCAGGAGCTCGAGGCGATGCACAGCGAGCAGGAGCAGCTCGATGCCGAGATCCGGCTCATCGAGGCCGCCATCTACCGCATGAAGCTGTCGGCGCAGCACATTGGCGCGCCTGTGAATTTTGGATACAGTGGTGGGTAGAGATCTTGCTGTCTCCGCCCCCCCCCCGATATTGCGAAAGTGCCGCGCAAATCTCAACCCTTTAGGTGCCCTCGCCTCGGCCAGCGCCCCCGCCTTCACCACGTCAGCGGCCTGGGACTCGGAAGAGCTGATCATCGACCCGCTGTGCGGCCGCGACGCGCCCCCCTTGCTGAGCCCCTCCATCCGCTCGACGTTGAACACCGCCCCCAAGCAGCCGCGCGGCCGTACCGTCGGCCCGGGGCGCATCGCCCGCGCCGCCACCAGCCCGGTGGGACATCAGGGCGCTCAGGGCGGTCAGCGGGCCCGTTTGCCCGGCAGCCGTCCGGTCGCGTCGCGTGACGCGATGCAGAGCCTCCTTCGCACCCTGCAGCAGCAGGAAGTGGTCTCGACGTCGCGCGGGCGTGCCGTTAGCCCGGTCCAGATTGGCGGCCCCGCCAGCCCTGTCGGTCAGCAAGGCGTTCAGGTAAAGTTCGGGCGGTTCGGGCGGGGGCGGTCTGGTCTCTTAGCGGAGGGACAAGGCATATCAAATTCTATGCTTCAGCGGCAGCCAGCCACCGGTCCCGGAAATGAAGCGATGAAAAGCCTCCTTCGCACCCTCCAGCAGCAGCAACAGCCCGAGGCGGCTGCAGCTCCGCGCGCCATCAGCCCGGTCCCGTCGGCTACGGGCCAAGCCGGCACCTCAACCCGCCGCCCAGCCGGAAGCCCGTCCCGTCGCATCGCCAGCCCCTCGCGCGACGCCATGCAGAACCTCATCGCCCTGCTGCAGCCGATCCAGAACCTGCAGCACGAACCGGAAGCCGGAGGGCAGAAGCCGGAACCAGGCCCGAACCCCGGCCAGCGTGCCACGGGCTCTGGCGCCCCGCTCGAGCGCTGGATCATTGAGGTGGAAAGCTTCAGCTAATAGCTTTTCAACCAAGCGCTGGCTCGTTAGCGGGGGGACGAGCGGGATTCAACCAGGTACTGGACTGTTAGCAGGGGGGTGGCGGGGTCTTTGGCAAAAGGGAAAAATCAATCTTCATTTTTGCTTATGTCTGTTAATAATAAATAGTGCATTCCTAAAAGATTTTTGGTAATTTGTGGCTGCGACCAAGTTACAAAAAAATATATATTTTGTGAGATTTGTAAAAATTTAAACGGAGTAAAAATCCTATAAAAATTCGATGCTAATGCACTTGGGGGGCAGTCCGGATTTTGACTACAAGACGTTCCAAATGTCGTTTTTTTTAAACTCGAAGCCTCTGGAAAAGCTAAGCCAAGCTTAGCGTCATAAAACAAAGCCTGCGCTCAGGTTGAGCCAAGCTAAGCTTAGCTTTAAGCTTAGCCCTAAATGACCCTATTTTGACCAACGGAGGCAATTTAAAGCTTAAGTTAAGCTTAGCTTGGGCTTAAGCCTAAGCCTAAGCTAAGCTTAGTTAAAGCTAAGTTAAGCCTGCGCTCAGCCGAAACCCAAGTAGCTTAAGCGGGGCGTCTCGTAACCCCTTACTACCAATTTTGGACTGCCCCCCAAGTGCATTAGCACCAAAAATACGGTTAAATTTTGTTACAGGACCGCGTAGAATTTTTGGTGGTCCCCCCCCCCCCCCGTCCCCTGGTCCCCGTTCCCCCCCCCCCCTTCCCCTGTGCGGCGGGCTTTGTACGCACCCAAAGAAGGAAAAAAAAGCTAGGGGAAAAAAAAAAAAAAAAACCCCCACACAACCCCCCCCCCGCTAACAGCCCATTACCGCGTTTTTTCAGAAAAAGGCGCCATCCGTCACTCTGAAGGGCCCTTCCGGAGATCTTCGCTATTTGACGGTGTCGGCCCTCGACATCCCGACGCCCCCGACGCCGCCGGAGGACGCCCTTCGCGAGCCGGTCACCCCGCAGGGCTCCTCGTTGGCCCCGGCGCGCTCGCCGCAGACGACCACGCAGCGCTCGTTGTACACCAGCATATCGTCGCCGCAGCTCAGCGTGAGGATTTGGGCATGCTCGCTCTCAATCCCACTCTCTCGCTCTCACTCTCTCTCTCTCTCTTTGCCTTGCTCTCAATCTCTCACTCGCTCTCGTTATCTCTAAAAATTCTCGCGCTTCCAGGCGCGCACCGGCAGCTCGACGACGACAGTGGAGAATGTGCTGTCGACCACCACCGCCACGACGACCACCACCAGCCTGCTCGGCGACGGCGGCAAGCAGAGCGCTTTTGAGAAGGTTTTGTCGCACTTCTTCACCACGAAACCACTCACCTTCCAGTGGTTCGGCACTTTGAGCGTCGACCAGCGCCGTGCCTTCTACCGTGCCATGGACCCGCCGAAGAAGCGCTGAATCTCTCTACGCGCCGCGCCCTGAATCGCATGCCCACATTAATGAAACGAATATCTAGTCTCGTCTGTTTGTATCCATTCCGAATGTCCAATCACTATTACTTGTGCTGTGATCTCGTGTGCTTAATAAATTTTATATTTTCGGGTGGAGAATACGCTACGATACTTTGTACATCATGAAGTAAGCGGCTTCTTAAGCTACGATCGATATAATATGCTGAAACGGCGAGATGACACCTTAATTATTGATAAACAAGCAGCGTTACAAGCCACTCAATCACTCTGGGGCTGTGTATTCAAGTGTTTTGTGTATATTTTTAGATGGAGAATACGCCACGATACTTTGTACATCATGAAGTGAGCGGCTTCTGAAGCTACGATCGATATAATATGCTGAAACGGCGAGATGACACCTTAATTATTGATAAACAAGCAGCGTTACAAGCCACTCAATCACTCTGGGGCTGTGTATTCAAGTGTTTTGTGTATATTTTTAGATGGAGAATACGCCACGATACTTTGTACATCATGAAGTGAGCGGCTTCTAAGCTACGATCGATATAATATGCTGAAACGGCGAGATGACACCTTAATTATTGATAAACAAGCAGCGTTACAAGCCACTCAATCACTCTGGGGCTGTGTATTCAAGTGTTTTGTGTATATTTTTAGATGGAGAATACGCCACGATACTTTGTACATCATGAAGTAAGCGGCTTCTTAAGCTACGATCGATATAATATGCTGAAACGGCGAGATGACACCTTAATTATTGATAAACAAGCAGCGTTACAAGCCACTCAAT